CTTGTTGACACACATTTAAGTCTTTTGTCGATTTTAATTTGAAAATCTTAAAAATTATTAACTACAATCCAAGACTAACCTTAGCTTTACTACAGCATACAAATTTTAAAATATTTAATCAATTTCAAGGGAGCTAGAAGAAGTTTCAGTTATGGCATTTACTTCTGAGTCACCCTGCTATTCGGAGTGTTTTTTCCAAGCAAACTCTCTCTCAGCCAGCAACCTATTTCCTTACTCCAGCAACTCTAGAGAGCAGTTTTAAGGAAAGTTGACTGGTCAGTTGATGTACTAGTTGTAATGGAGTATGTTATTTTATAAAGGAATTAACCTCAAATGCTATGAACAAAGATTCAAGTGGGCATATAATAGATCTCCCTCAATCTTCTATTTGATGTATTATACAGTATATAATTGGAAAAATAGCCCAACTGGATACAGGGAAAGTGAGAACTCTTGTAGGCTCAGAAAGGATTATACAATAGTCTTAACAGAACTAAATTCAAGTACCATGATGTGAAAGACCCAAGATCTCAAATATGAGCGAAGCCTTTAAGAAATCTTCTAGTCAGATGCACAAAATAGAAAATCCCTGGAACAGACAGGATAGCTGCCAGGTAACATTTTTACTGGCAAGCAAGTCTTGATTTATTCCCTCACTGTTCCTTCAATTAAACAAAACAGGTTATCTGAACACATAAGTGTGCTCTCTGTGTCTAACTGTTGTCAGCTTAGAACATAAAGATAAAAATCATTTTCCATATGTGCTAATCACCTTCATCCCTCACATTCCATCTGAGTTCACCATTCCTTCTTCTTCCTGGGGTGTGTACTGGGAATGCTGCTTTGGGAAGTTTTCCCTATAGTTTCTCACCTTGTGGCACTAAAGCAAGCATGAAAATATAGGCACAACCTAATTTGAAAGGAAATAAGGAAAGGATGCTGGCCAAATTAATATATAGGGTTCTGTGTTTTAACCACTACATGTGAAAGGCAGCCAGTTGTTTGAAAAATTAGTAATAAAATAATTTTAAAAAAATTAAGACATGGGAAGATTCAAGGGAAGTGGCGCTTTCTACACAAGTTTGCATTATTAATAGTAGGCACCCAGTTGATCACATTTTGTATTTTAACTATTTGAAAATTTTATTTTAACGACTACAGAAGAAAACAACAACTGTTTACTAGGCAAACAGTGACATTCATTTTAATTTATTATTGTAGTTCAGCATTACTCTCATTTACTCCAGTGCCTTTTTCAGATCCACTTTGCTTTTAGTAAGTTTATTATTACTTTAGGGTAGTAAATTGGGAAAGAGCCCCTCACACTTCTAGCTCAGATTGATTTGGAAAAAAACACAATATACTTAATTTTAATGCCTGATAATGTTGCTAATTATCTCTTTTAAAAGACAAAAACTGTAGAACTCAATTAACTTCCATTAAGTGCAGTGTATTAGGTCCTCCAAGATAATGAAAATAATATGGATTTATTTTATAATTAATGAAGTCCCAGAGAATTAAGTTTTATTCTCTCTCCTGTTTCCCCCTCCCCACAAAAAGTTTCCATTACAATGACAATTTCAATTAACATGGTTAAATGAAGTAACCAGGAAAACTTTAATGTGAAAAATGTAAGGAAACTCATTCTGCTTGTGGAACTGAAAGGCTACATCATGTCCACTCTAGTCTAAAATGATCCGAGTTACTTGAGAAGTCAGGTACATGGATTACTCAATACACTCTATTCTCCCTCCCCGTTTTTCCCCCCATTGTATTTATTACTGAACTTTCAAGAGCACTTTGCTAGACGCTTTAGACATGCATAGCAAGAGATCCTTCCTGCCCCAGACCTTACAATCTAAAAAAAGCAATAAAGAAAAGAGAAGAAAGAATTATCCCATGTTGCAAATGAAAGAACCAAGGCTCAGAGATTAATGGTTACCTCTTCCCAAGTATGCTCTGCCCACATACTCCCACTTGCATTCAACAAACCAAATATATGGCAGTGAGCAGCCACTCTTAAGCAGCAGATAGGAAGTGAATGGTCTCACTGGTATTGTCACTTCTCTGGGTTTAGCAAAGTGCAAAGAGAAGAAGGCTGGCAAGATATGCTCAGGATTTGTCTACACAGTGTCCCTAAGTGACTTGCCTAGAATTACACAAGCAGTCTCCTGTAGAACTGGGAACTGGATCCAGATCTTCCAAATACAGCTGAGCACTATCATCAAAAGGGCACCCTTCTTTTCACAGGCAAGGTTCTTTAAGTAGATGTGATATCTTTTATTAGACCAACTGAGTAGCTGGAAAAAAGTTATTAGCAAGCTTTCAGGCGCAAACACCCTTCTTCAGGCCCAGGAAGTCTCTGCTGTTCTGAGACTCCAAGGAACTAAGAACTTTTTTCCAACTACTCAGTTGGTCCAATAAAAGATATCACATCTACTCAAAGAACCTTGCCTGCGTATGTCTTTAGACCAACACAGCTACAACCAAAAACTGTATTCTGAACCTTGATAATTGCACTTTACTGACATGTCACTTGGTTTACTGTGAATCACAAAGTAAAGTGTATGGCAACTTCTTCCTTTCTCCTCTCAAGAAAAACACATGCTTGCAACACTATAAGCATGCTGCAATACTTAAGAAAAACATATCAGTAGAGGAAAACTGTCTTAAGTAGGTTAACTTTTTAGGACAATCACTCAATCTACACAGCACCAGAAGACAGAGAAAGATAGTAAGCACACAGCATTTTAAGAAATAAAAGGAATCTGCTGAATGCATCAAGTGCAGCACTACTAGTCCAGAGGTGACTGCTGTGAGCTCTAAAGTCCTATAGCTAAGGTATATAAATTTTCTCCTCCCCAACTAATTAGATATAATTTCAAAGAGGGAATCTGTATTCCTAACTCATAGCTTCCACCTCCATTTATATAAGTGGAAAAGTTCTCTTTCATAAGTACAAATGTGAATTACTAACACCACCATGACATGGGAGCAGTTATTTATCAAAAAAATTCTTAGCCTCTACAACTTGAAATGTTGTGTGTCGGGATATTTACAGGTAAAATAATTTTATTAATAATGCTGTATTGCTTTTATGTATAATTTAGCACAATATATATTTAAATTACCAGTGCATAAAAGCACAAGCTTTCTGAAGTGACCTCAAAGAGAATAGTCACCAGATTTTTTGCTCTAACTTACTCATTTAGTGCATTTGATAGCAGTTTGACTAAACACAGAAAACAGTTGCAATGACTACGGAGGCAGGTTCTCCTATCTGGATGTATTTCACACAGCAGCAGAGGGAGAAAAAACTGATTAAAAAAAAAACAGGCATGTGCAATTCTACTACCAGAGATGTTGGCAGAGGGATTCACTGACTGTAAACATCAGTTAAACTAACAGATTTTATTCACAGGTGAATGAACTACATAAATGTAAAGTATCATTAAAACAAGTGGAAAGAACATTCATATCTTAATTCTACCCCTATCAAATCCCTCTCACTCATCAGATTATACCTTCCTCCCAGTAAGGAATACAGAAAAATAACCCCAATACATACCATGTCACTGCTATCTAATAATATGTATTGACAAAAACAAATTTAAATTTTCCTATTTTTAGAAAGGGCATATAAAAACGATATTAAAAGAATGTTACTGTTACAGCATTCCAAGTTCTTATGCAGAAGTTAGGAAATACCAAAAGTAAGGTATTTTTGTGCAAGATTAGTTATAGCTCAGTGGTTCTCAACTGAGGTGCCAGGGCCCTTTCCAGGGTGCTGTGACCCTCTTCCAAAGGTGCCACAACTTGCATGCTGCCACAGACAGGCTGAACTGCCCCATGCGCCTCCTGCAGAGGAAGACTGGGCAGCAGTTGAAGGTGGAGCCCACATTCTTCCTACAGCACTTCCTGGTCTGAATCCACATGCCCCTCCAAGAAACAGAGGCATGTTTGGCAAGGGGTGCTGTCCTTCACCCCTCTGTTTCCAGGAAGAGGATGTGGAGTCAAACTAGGAAGGGCTACAGCAAGAGTGCGCATTCCAAACTAGCCCGCTGTTCCGCCCATCCAGGGAGCCTGGTGGGACTGTGGAGCAGTCATTTAAACTGGAAGGGTAAGGCTAGGCTACAGAGCACTTTATACTGCCCATCCACAGATCCAGGCTGGACTGCCACAACCCTTCACGCTGCTGAGCCAGGGGAGTCAAGTTGGGCTGCAAGAGCCCTTTGTACTACCCTGGAGGACCTGGGTGCAGAGACACCCAGAACAGGCAAGACCACCCTCCTCCCAGAAAACCCTAATACAGGCAGGAACACTTGGTAGCACCCTGGTTAAGAAGCACTGAAATAAGCTGAGATAGCACAAGAGTGGTTCTCAGTCAGATGGCCCACCAAACTCAGAAAAGTTGCAGAGGGGTGCCCTGACTTCAAAAAGGTTGAGTGAATCACTACTATAGCAAAGAAATCCAGCTACAGTATCAATCTGGCTATTGAACAGTTTCACAAACTGATCATTATACCTACACAACAATAGTGACTTTAAATATCCAAACTAAACTCAGTAACATCAATCACATAGCCAACACTGCAGCATACATCATCTTATCCTTTTAAGCAAAGAAGAGGATATTGGTTTCTGAAAGCTATGTGAAGGATGTTCCTATATGATTTTGGAACATGCATTGAAACCCACAAAGACAACAATCTAAAATAATTCCACCAAGAGTTTGGACAAAGTCAGAACTCATCCAAGAAATCCCCTTTTAACCTGTTAATCAGAACAGGTTTTATATATATAGGACACAACTATAAAAGCCGGTCTTGCCTCAGGAACACAAGACACTAGCAAATATCATGCAAAAGCAAGAACTTTTTAAAAAATTGCCTAAGAGTGAGCTTTGATCCAATGTCTTCTGTTTCAAAAAAATATACAGAAAAACTTGAGAACAAAACCTCCCAAAAACAGAATGCAGGAAAACAACACTACAGTCCTACCTTAATAGAAGCAATGTGGAGCAAAGTCTCTCCTTTATGATTTCTTTTGGTAGTTGTGCTCTGGTCAGGGTACTTCTTTGACAAAGAGGGACTCTGCGTAACTGCCATTTGATTCCAGTTATTAGGAGTGGATGGAGTAGTCTGGGCTTTTATTTGATTCCAGTTATTAGGAGTGGATGGGGTAGTCTGGGCTGCTGATACCAAAGGGCTATTTATTTCTTTAAAAGCTGATGAGTTTTTTGGCTTTGATACGGTGCCACCTGTGTGTTTATATACAGAAGAAATATCAACTAGACTGTCATCTTCAGCAGCCAGAGACATATTAGTACAGCAATTCTGTGGCGACTGCTGGGTGACCGACTGCCTACTGGTGCTCTTCTCACTTGTTCTAGGTCTTTTAGAATGAGACAAAGCAGGTGATCTTGATTGCTGCCTTCCACATTTTAAGAGAGTCTCTTTATTTCGTCCTGGTAGAGGTTTACCTGTAGTAACACCACTCTCAATGATATCTTCTGCAGGACATGCAACTTTATTTCTGTCGTTATCTTCCACAGGTTTTACTTGTGTGGACATTTCCAAGTATGATTTGCTTCCATTTTTATTCAAGTTAGTTTCCTTCACTGATTCTTGTCCTAATGTCTTTTCAGTACTCTTTGGTTCTGGGGTGCTGGCAACTAATGGCTGACTGCAAAAGGACACCTTTTTTCCACTGAATTCATCTGAGGCTTCTTTCTCTTCAGGTCTACTGCCATCTTTCTGCTTTTCCTTCTCTATACCCCATACTTTGTTGAAGTCTGCTAGGCGTTTCTTCTTCAGCTTTTTTGTTAATCCCCGTGCTGGTTTTTTGCTTTGCTTAGAAGTCTTTTCATGAGAAGGGGAAGGAGAGAAATCATAAACAGAAGGTGCATCCTGGGAAATCTTATCAGCATTGGTCACCTCCTGATTCTTATTCAAGATGCATCTAATCTTTCTACTGCGTGGACTGAACCACATTTTTATCTGCTTCTTATTTCCCATATCTTGATTATATCTTATTGATGTGGACAAGTCTTCTGCAGAATCTGGTGGGAGAGCTGGATCTGAAGGGTAACAAGATAGTCAAAAATTTAACACTTTGTGTAGAACACAATCCTTAGACAAGTTATTGAAGAAAAGTCTGAAATACTGTGCTAATTAAATATAACTACTCTTGGTCATTTTAAGGATGTACATAAGGCTGAAACCATGAAGCCAAGCAGTAGGCCTGAAGCCATCTAAATTACTGGAGTACGACTCTTGTAAGCACTATGAAGGGCATGGCCGCAGGGTGTCTAATCATTTCAACCAACCTGCCAGATTAAGCAAATAGCAAATTCTGCAATTTAAATTAGGCGAGAAAAAGTCATAGGCTTGAGAAGCAATTATTAAATGAGTTACCAAAGCTCCCACTGACAAAGGCCAGAGGCCTGAGCTCTGCAGGCTGGATCTGGCCTAGAAACTGCAGGTTGCCGAACCCTGGTTTGTGAGTGTGGGATTAATCAGAGAGAAATTGAGAGCTTCAGAAAGCACCTACTACTGGTGCAATCCCATTTTCCCCACTGTTGCTCCTAAGAACTTTTGATTTGATGTAACAGGCTGCCCACAAGCATCATCTATCTCCTACCTTGGGTGTTAAGGCGGGGAAAAAAAAATAATCAGACTGTAGACTTCTCTCCTGCCTCTTATCAGCTGAAAACCATCATTACACCTGTGATTTACCAGTAATATAAACATGAATTATGCTTTAAATTGAAGACTGTTTATCTCCATTACTGTTAAGGAGAGATGTGTGGTGAGCTGAATTAAGCCAATAAGATAAATCAAAAAAAATCTCATGAGTTTTATACTCAAAAGACACTCCAGAAGAGTGACAATGTTATCAAGAGATTATTAAGGCTATTAAGAGGTTTTCTGCTGGAAAATTCATTTCAATGGAATGAATTTGAAAGATTCAAAATAAACAATGGGTGACTATGTACATCGTCACGTCCATAGTATTGCTAGTCATATTTGTGATTAGAGATGTAAATAATTAGAGATAATTGGAGATTAACTAGAGATGTAAATAAATAATCTAGAAAAAACACAGAGGAGATGTAATGGTTTTAGTTTAAACAATACAAGCCACTCAAGAAAGGAGCAGGTAAGGGAAGTAGCAATTTAAATAATGCATGTAAACCAAATTAAATGTGCTAGAATAGCATCGCTCAGCTATTTGAACTTCATTAAGGCTCCTTAGCTCACCTAATTTAGCAAGATGCCTCAGTCTTCACTGGCCACACCTCATTATGGCCTGTTACTTTGTTTTTCAGAGGGCCCAGAGATGCAATCAATCAAGCCACTGATCTATTGTCAATGCTGGATCTCAAAATCTAATGGCTGCGGCAGTAACAGATATGGCTGGGAAAAGAAAAGCATTCAGTCCCAGAACTTGCCAGATTAGCCAGCCCACTACAGGACATACTATTTCTTGGTTACCCAAGCAGCAGCATACACTGCAGCGTAAGAGAGGGAATCCAGAGACTCTACATTATTGAATCATTAAATAAAAAGTGCAGAAACTTGAAGATCTAGGAGTCAAGTCAACAAGAAGTTATTTGATTCTACTACCCCTTCATTGTGCTGGAAAAAAAAAAAATAATAATAATAATAAAATCCTTGCAAATAGTTGCTAAAATTATATTAGATGCAACTGGTATTGGAATGCTAGGGAAATTTCCAGGAAAAAAAACAAAACAACAGTATAGAGAGCTTCTCATCAGAAACTTGGGGTCGTTTCCCTTTTGTGCAGTGAAATGGGTTTGACTAAGTGAGGACATCCCACAAAGTTAGTTTCCTACAACCACATGAGCAGTGACACCCTATTGGACTTTGGCCTCATTAGAATTTCTAGGGTTGTCCTAAACAAAATTAGAGAATACTGACCAATAAATCACTTTACCTAGCAAAGCAGGTAGAATTGTAAAAAGTGAACACTAAGGCTAACATCAGCTGTTTAACATTCTGGAAATAAAGGACTGTAAATCAAAATGGAGTATTTTATGAGTATTACTTCTATTTCAGTGCATTAATTTTCAAGCCATCATTTTATCTTCTCTGCATCTTCTGTTTTTAAGGTTTGTAACAGTACCTGTCTTTTCAACTCCAACCATAGCAACCTTACTGATAGCAGAGGCAGGCTGTTTCCCACTCCCAATCCCCCAAAGAACCTAAAATTTGTCATTGTTAACAAAATTTACACGTGCAAAACAGGAAGAACTGCAGTGATACAGCTAATGATAAACAGTGTGGCGAAGCAGTCAAATACTAAAACAAACATTTCAAAGGCTCTTTAGAAAGGATATTTCAAAGTTAGATATTTTCCTATCCTTATTTAAAATTCCCCTATAAATCTCTTCAATTAAAAGTGTGTTAGATAGTTGGAAATTCAGTTAGCAAGAGAAATGTGTGGCATCAGGCTGAGACTTACTTCAAGAACAATATATCCTCAAGCTAACTGATCAATCATTTAAGTATCCAATTACATCTACAGCATACAGGCATGAGGGCTGTCAACTACAGCACCGTAGCAATTCCGTTAGCCTTAGGGAATGGGCTTGATGCACAGGAAGAAAAAAAGTACTTAAACTGAAACTCAAATCCTATAAACTCAAGGGTGTCCAACCTTTTTGAATGTGGGGCTGGATCACAAACTTTTTAATCACCCAGTGGGCCAGCGAGCCATATTCAAAGACCTCACAGGAAGTGCTATCACATCAGGAAGTGGTGTCACGTGACCTTTGACACCAATGAAGTTGCAGGAAGTGACAATGAAATGGGTCTAAATAACCAGTTCAAAACTCTCCCTCTATAGCATCCACCTCTGCCACTGTTCAGGACAGGATACTCAGCTAGATGGACCATTGGACTGACCAAACATGGCACTTTTTATGTTCAGAAGCTCTTATGTTCTTTGGCCAAGCTTCCAAACTATGGCTGCAAAAAGGGGTAGATAGGCATGTTACAAAGTTGTCATAAAAGATTTGGAGCCCTCTGAATTCCATTAATTTTAATGAAAGTTGGCCTTTTGACTCAGCTTTGAAAATCTCAGCCCAAGGTGCCAACCAAATAAGTCAAAATATATTTTGCATTTCTATGCAGTGCATCTATGTGGGGCTCTCCAAGCATTTTACAAACATGAAATGAACCTCAGGATGAGCCCAGCCAGAGGAGCAGGGGCTCAGCTGCACTTTCCCCCAACCTGCGCTGGTCAATCCCGAGCGGCACACGGTTTCCCCACCACTTCTGCTGGCTGGTGCTGACCCAGGTGGATCTGTCCCATCCGGAGCAGCACGCAGCTGAAGCTGGCTTCCCACGTGCCACTGGGGACAGGAGAAGCCCGGCCGGGGCGGC